AATTTAAAATCAACAAAATAAGTTATATTTGTGTAAAAAATAAGACCAGTTGTAGTCCATAAAAGGTTTCTAGAAAAGTCCATACTGGATTAATAGGATTTATTTTAACTGTTCATGGCAATTGTGAAGTGAATAAGATGTTACCTCTGTGGTGTTTCTTCACAACACCTACAAGATGGTTATTTCCTCTCCAAATCACCAAAATCCAAATTATTTCCCAATAAGTACAGTTTTAATAAGCTCTTACAACAAAATTAGATATCTGCTAATACAGGCTTTCATGTACAATGGCCCATATCTTTTGTCAAATCCTTAAGTACGTCTACTTCTATTTTGTAAGACACTAATTATTGACATTTGAATATTAAAAATGTTGATGCAAATTCACAAGTGTAAAAATTAGAGAATTTTCAAAATTTGAAACAGACTGTTTTCTCTTAGAACTTTTAGAGATGAATGATAATGGGAAATGAATAGGAAACATAAATAAATCAAAGGCAGTCTAAATTTAGTTTGTCAGTCTATATTTCTATGAAAGAAAGCCAGAATCTCAAGTTTCATTGTTTTTTCCTTCTTATCCTTAAGAGTTGACAGTGCCACAAAATCTGGGTGGGAACAGCCCACAGGCACAACGCTCCTGATTGGACGACTAAACAGATGCCTCCTCTTGCCCAGACCTGGGACAGGTGTGAAGTTGAAGATACAGCCCCATCACCATTAAAAAACAAGTAAGTTTGTTTTAACAGAACAAAAGCATATGTCTCAGCCTTTCATGAAACAAGCTGGGGATACCAGGCTTACAGCACAAATTTTTAAGTCAATTCTAATAACTTGAGGGGTTTTTCTTTTCACTCAAGGTGCAACAGTTTATAATTTGCACAGTGTTTATTACTATCCATACAAATGTATCATTTTATGGGGGGAGGTATGCTTCTAAAAAATGTCTAGACTTCTAAAACCTCTTTTCATATACTAACACACTGACCTCTGAAATAAAGAATAGGTTCTGACTTGAAAAAATGAATCAGTAAATGGTGTTTAGCACTTACACGTACAGATTTCTGCTGTCAAACTATATATCCTTTAAGCCTTCTCCCATGATTTATTTATCACCAAGGCGCACACGAAATGGTCAGTTTCTTAATCTGAGGCTAGAGCTGTAGGAAATAATATACTTACCATGTGGGCATTAAGCTGTTCCCTGGCTGTTTCTGGTAAACCTCCCAGAGGTTTAGATGCTAACAGATGGCGCTCCGTGTCCGTCAGCCACTGCTGTAAATCCTCAATTTCACCATGGAACCCTTTGGCCTAGAGTGACAGAGAGTTTTAAGTCTGGGCCATAGACCTTGTCACTTTCAAGCAGAAAACAAGGTTTAAACAATCCAGCCCGCTAAGCCTCTCTATGACATCTTAAAAAGGGCCAGGTGCCACTACGCTTGTTTCTCTTTTAGGTGACAGTGCTAGGAGATAAGACTATTACGCTAAGAACCAGAGAGCCGTGTCCTCATCAGCATCCTTCTTTATCCCCCTTATTGTTACTGCTTTCCTTGAGGCACAAAAATTAAACCGGGGTCTGTAAAACAATGAAAGAATTCCACGCCAGTTTGGTCTTGAAGGCTAGAAAGTTTCAGGATTTATTCTCGTATTCACCTGACGCAAGGCACCATCCAGCTGCTGCTTCCTTTGTTCTGTTTTTTCCAAAACATTTTGCCAGCGTTGATTTAAAACCTCTAGCTTGTTTTGCAGGCTGCTAGCTTCTTCTCCTGCACTTGATTCAATTAGGTCATTTCCTGCTTTATTAACGGCTTCCACTGTGGACTGATGGGCTAATACATCATTTTGGAGCACCTGCAAGTATGCAGAGAACACTATGGTTGCTAATTTGTAACATGTTAACATCACTTTTAATTCAACTGTTTTATTTCCTGGTTATGAAATACTCTAAAACAAATACATCATCTACACAGAAACTTAACACTAATGAAAAGACTCCTTTTCCTTAACTTTTCGGCTTTCCTTCGTGTCTACCTACATCCCCTGAAATGATTATGTGAGACCACTGCAAGTTCTTCCCATTCCAACAGCTTTGCCACTGATGACATTAAGTATCTAGACATTATAATCAAAAGGTAACTATTACTTAGTATTCTAAAAGTATTCATTTGATTCAATCTCAT